CTGTCGGACCTAATGTGGTGGAATGCAGGATGAAATTAGTCCTTAGCCCCCGTCTGATCCTGTGGAACGCAATGTCCATTCTATGACAGGACATATCCAAGTTAGGAGAAGGAGAGGAGAGCGACATTTCGCGCTGCTGAAACACATAAGCATTGTGCCGGACGATATAAATGTCATCGACCACTGACCAGACAATCGCGACGTTCTAAAACGGGATATAAAGTAACACGTCGGATACTTTTTCCGACCTGCCAGATTATTTGATTGATACACACGAGGATGTTATATGTGACTTCACGAGGAAACGTCATAAATCCATTAACATAACAAAATCTACGATGGTAAAATTTCGATTGTGCCGAGACAGCTTATCGATAACAATAGATTTCCTTTCTTTTACATATGCATGAGATACTACGCTAAAGTTACGGCTATCAGTTCGGAAATGTACGGCATATTAAAAATTCTTATCTCGCGAAGTAATGTTGGTGCACGTAAAAGTCTGCTGTTTTGCATTCGCGGGCTATATCAGCATCGTCCGATGCAGCGGTACAAAAAGGTAGGACGCGGAATGGCGCACGTGTTCAAATATCCGGACTGTCCGGACGCTAATGTAATGTCGTTGCAGAAGGAGAGCTAATGAGACCGGTCGCGGCCCCCTCGTCCGGTCTGGTAAAGCTCAAACGCCGTGCCGGACCGAAAACTGAAATTGTCCTGTACTTGAACTAACGCTTTCTGTGCTTTCAGGTAATACAGGGTAACACGAATACGTATTTGGAATCCAAGCACGAGCTGGAGCCGCCTCTGTGGGCGAGCAAGATCCGTTTTCTGCCCTACAGCTATCACAAGCGGACGGTTTGCATGCGGGTCGAGCTCTACGGGTGTTACTGGAGCGGTAAGCTGTTTGCACTCGCCAATTTTCGTGAAACTTGCCGCGGACCGGTACACCCGCCGGACTGTCCATTAACCCTGATACCAGCGTGCCCAGAGCAAATTTGCTTTTCAAAATCTTGCTCGTATAATTCCATTTTCGCTCGGGAATCGAATTAGCTACGGGCGTCGAACGGATGCTCTCAATGCCGGAAATGCGGTGAATCATTAGTACGCGTGTTGAACCAACAAGGTCACTCGATAAATGCACCAACGCATTTGTGCGGGTAGCCTATCTTACAAGCATTATTTTCCAAAGCCATTTAATGTAAGTTGATATTGTAAGAGGTAATTCATTTATCGTTATAAACATTAAATTACGCGAAAATATTATTTTCATATTCAGCAAACAGTTAATTTTATAAGCAAATTTAATTATCGTGTCTTTTAAAAAATTTAATAATTTCAGTTTATATTTGTGTGTTAAAAGTTAATTAGTTGTTAAAAGATTGTTTGATCGAGATACATTTTTTACGTATAAATCTTATTTTTTTATTTTAGCTCACAATATACAGTCTGTATTTTTCTGTATTTGTCATAAAGAGATCGGAAGAGTCGTATAACTTACTTTCAAACAAATCGAAGACAGTATCGTTGAGAGGAGATCAACATTGTATCTTGGCTTTTTCCTTCCGTAGACGGCGTGGTGTCCTACTCGATGCCCCAAGGCGATAAAAGGGGCAACGGATGGGAATTCTTCGACGCGACCTACGACGGACACTGGGATGGCGAGTTGCGTCGTGGTTTGGGTCAACTGACAGACGGTAGAACGGGGCCTAATAACTTCAAAATGTATTACGATAATGATCGCGCCCAGGGCTGGGTAGGCTGGAGGAACGACAGCCGCGGTCAACCGGTCGAGATCAAGTTCGAATTCGACAAAGTCAGGGAATTCTCCGCCGTCCATATCTACTGCAATAACGAATTCACCCGAGGCGTCCAGGTTCGTAACTAGCTGTATACGTGTATATTTAAATAATTTAACTCTTAGAACTGGGAAACATATTATCTTCATTTCTAAAAATATATATAATTGTAATCAGCTTATAAAAGAATGTAAGAGCAATCCTGAATGACAATTCATTACATTCGACATTTTTTTAATACAAAGCGAGTGTACAACTAAGGTTTTTTGTACTTAATACAATAACGCATTGTTACTGTTATATAACAGAAGTAGAAATGCGTACGTGTATATATATATATATATATATATATATATATATATATATATATATATCCTATCCGCTGAAAGATTAATGTGCGGTAGGCCCGCATTAAGAGCTGAAATTAGAGAGAAACGCTCGAGAGGGTATCACTCTCGTTCTTCCGAAACGAGACCACTTCGCTTGAAACACACGTCTAATCTCTCGGGCCGCTCGTCGCGATTCCGCGCGAGTAATACCCCGGGAGAACCTAAAGAATCCACGTGATCAGAACGGAGCACGCGCCGCTGCTATATCGAATTACTTCTCCAGCCAAGGATCTCCCTCGTGAACTCGTTGACGCCGAGGAAATCGTTTACCTTCGCTTTAGCGACGTTATTCCTTAGTCCTCGCCAGGAATGCGCAAGCAGCGTCGATCAACACGCTCGCCATCCACGGTTCTTCGTGATCCTCTCCTCCTTTTACCGTCGCCGTTCCACCGTAGTCGTCGCGCAGCATCTGGTCGGCAAGACGTGCGCCCTCCTCCCCTCCCCTCCTCCTCTCCCCCCGCTCTATTTCCCGCTCGCACCCTCTCGCTACCACGCTTGATTGAATATTCCACTCGACGCTTTATCAGGCAGACACCCGTTGAATATCAATACACCATGGAGCAGCAATTCCGGCAGCAGTTTGATATCTGCCACCACGGTCTCGGTGCGATGATCGCGCCGAGTCGGCTATTAGCCGCGTTATTTCACGAAGAATCTTGCGAATCTCAATGGGGAATTCATGCACACGTTGCAGCGACATACGTTGCCTCAACTGGAATTCAAACACCGAAAACGTTAATATTCGCGGAATGGTTTTGATATGATAAATTTAATATAATAAATCGCGCTACCCCGAACACGCGCGTGAGATCGTAATAAGTTATTCGCTGATTGCGAATACCAGCAACGTTACTGTCGTGATTCGCGATAGATACGGAATTTCTCCCGCGAATCTTACCATCCCTATCCCCTCCCCCTCCTCTCTCTCCCCTCCCCCCTCCCTCTCCCTCACCCGAGGCCGTAATCCCTGTTTCGTAATTTCAACTTTTACTCGTGTAACTTAAGGGGAAGACGGAAAATTCGAGCAGAGATACTTGATGGAAGAAAAACAATTCCCGGATGTTCCTTGAGAGGAACAGGTAGGAAACTTTTCGCATCATTCGCCATATCCGTGATTCAGCGTGTTGTAGTCGCGGAAATGAGTTCGCGGGGGCGGCTTATAAAGAGGATTCCTCGTGCTTGCGCCGAGTTATAATTCGTTCCGCAGTGTAATTTTCGTTTGTGTGTGGCCACAGATCGCGACTTGGCCACCATGTCGTCCCACGTAGATCTGACGATTCGATAGGATTCTAATAGCCGCGGCCCGCGGCAATTTACATACGGGCACACGCGGCTATTTTATTGTATCGCAGCGCCGCAATGGCGCTTTTCTCATTACAATTCGCGTGTCGATATCTCGATCATATCGCGAGATAGACGCGGCGTACAATGCGAGCCCGAACATAATACCCCATCATTAGGCAAAATGTTACGAGTCAAGGTGAGCGCGAGACGACGGGGGAGGTAGGAATTGGCAATATTTATTTATAATATATGTACATTCATCACTGGTAATCGTGTATTACAAAGATCATCCAATGACGTCACACCGAAAATATGAAAACTCGACATCTCCGACGTCACAGTCCATGCCGCACATATTGCATGTTTTATCATACCCGAGACAAATCCGCTTTAAACACGCGCGCGTATTCTGTCATATGCTACAGTTCGTTTAGAGGCTCGACGGCGCGTGCGATGAAATATGCATGGGAGATTATTGAACGTTGTCAGAAACGGAAGCGCCGAATTTTGATCCGAGTAAAATTGCCCCGAATAATTCTTTCGCGTTGGAATCGCACAAGAGAGAAGAGATTACATCGCGTTACGCAAAAAAAAATGCGGCTATTGTTAATTTATATACCGGAGAAAGATTTAATATTAACGTATTTTATCAAAAATACAATTATTATTATTTTTTGTAAATGATAAATTTTCATTTCCAAATTTTCACAGTCGCGGAAGAGCAGGATCAGTTCTCTTTCCACCAACCTCGACATAGTTTCTTCAGGATTAAAATTATGAATTATGAAATTATGAAAAAATCGCCATGTCACTCACGCATGCAAATAATTTTTAATTATTATACTAAAAATTGAGCACAAAAATACAATAGCCGATATCGTACAACGCGGAGCGAAACCGCCGGCGCGAGTGAATATTACGCGCAGCGAGAACATAGCACCGTTCGTGTGTATGGAAAATTGTAAATGAAAGCGCTCTTTGGACCGGCAATCTAAACGATAACGAACTTCGATCTGCAGTGTTTCGAGTACGTCGTTAAACGCAGGTCCTTCAAATAGGGACGTGCTCCGGTTAGTTTTGCGCTACTGACACCGCTCGGTATTTTCCAGGAGAGCTGTACATACATATCCGGCTGTAGCACAAGCGGCGTTGACGAAACGATTGCCGCGAAAAATCGAAAAAAAATTTTTTTGGCGCCGATCAAAAATCCGCGGGGGCCGCGTAACTATGCGTGCGCACGCGTGCCGTTCGCAAATTGGCAACGCGAACAGCGAATATCTTGCACAAAGCGCAAATACAGCCGCGCGGCGAGCAATCCAGTATAAACGGCCCCGGCTATAGCTCTTTGATGCTGGGTTCAGTGATCACCCTTCCAAACATGCTCCCTAGTATTACGATTCAACTTCACCCCAGATTCCCGCCGAATGTATATAAACTTTAATAGCCTGTTAAACGTAAATTAGAATGTAGCCGCGCGTTGAAACTCGCTGCGAATACCGCGAGCGGTATTCCTTATCGTGCGCGGGGCGCACGGTGGATAACATAAAAATGACGTGCGTACACACGGGGATGGACCATAAATGGATTATATACTTTATAATCCATAGCTACGTGGCAAACTATAACACGCTGCTATAACGATGAATCGGAATCGGCGCGTTTGCATACCACGAAAAATCATATAAATTCATGCGGTGTATCGCGGACGCGTAAAGCCCTCCAAGTACTCGTGTGGCGCGCAGTGATATAAAATAGAAGAACACAAAAACGTTACATTGAAATATTAAAAGGGCGGAATACCGATCGAATATTTGCTTAATGTGTCGTGATGCAAGATATAAGATGACGCGCGCTCGCGAATCGGTATTTTTATCGAGAGAGAGAGAGAGAGAGAGAGAGAGAGAGAGAGAGAGAGAGA